GTTATTGAAAATTTTGATCAAGGTAAATTTAATAGTCCCCAGAGAGATAATTTGTGTTCAGTAAGTCTTAAATATATATATATATATATAATTGGAAGTAACCGAATCTTTAGATATGAAAATTTTAATACTTCAAATGAGTGGCTAATCTACCAGTGGCCGAGGAGCGGTAAAGTCGCTAAGCACATAGTTCGGTCAGGTGTGAGAATCTCCGCGAACGGGTTGGGTGTAAGGGCATTTTCGTGATTTTTCTCATGTGTTATGTGTATGCAAATCAGTTTCTTTTAGAAAGTCCTCCATTCCCTTAGGCAGATAACCCTCGAGTACTTTGCCTAGTTAAATTTTAAAAAAATGGATTGGCTAAAAAAGCTTTATCTTGCATCATAACATTTCATTCAAAATTTTTTCCGTCCTACGTTTTTAACTGCAATTAGTAGAAGACTGAATGAAAAGCTACATATACTTTATGAAACGTATGCTATAAAAATCAGTTTTAATTTAGAAGAAACCAGATTATTTTGTTGAGTTCTTTTCAAGAAGACCATTTGTTTTAATGATGAAAAATGCATTAGAAGAAAAGCATGAAAAGAGCTGTTTCATAATGACATGTTACAATAAGAGAGAGAGTTCATAAAGCCACTTGTAACTGGAAAAGCAAAAAACTCTTTGATGCTTCCAGGGCAGCCTTCAAATGTTTTGAGTACAATATGAAAATTAAATCAAACATTCTGCATAAATCGTGGAATAATGTCACACTGGTTTATTTCTTTCGATACGCTATATTTAAAGAAAAATAGTAAAATTTTGCTATTAATGTTTTCTCTTCTCCGGAAAGAGAGAATTTATATGCTCGAGAGGGAAAGTCCCCATGCTTCCACCCTATTTTGAAAATAATTCGGTCCGAATGGCGCATGCGTGTTTGCGCTCATGGTCGCGGATGAAGTAGTCGATCTACAGTCTTGGCATTTGCTTGCTTTCTTCATTACGTTGTAATCTCAGGGCCAGATTAAGAATTTTAGAGGCCCTAAGCAGTTAAAAGATTTTGGTGTCCCCACATATGTCTACGTTTGCTGTTACTTCATTCCTTCTCTCTTCAGTTTTATTTTAGCTGCATCATGTGTTGCACGTCTCACAGTGAACACTAGCTCTGAAAGATTAACGCAATAAAGAACGTCTACCCAAGGTTACTTTGGTGATTCCTAAAATGAAGAAGTAGACGACACATAAGAAACATAATTTAATTACGCGAAACCTACACTAAACAAACATTTTTCTGACTACATCTCGTTGCTAAGGAAATTGCATAGCTCTCTAAATTCTAGAGATTTTAAAAGTATCAGTTCATCACGCGACGTCAGTCCTTAACATGTCTTATTGGCGAGTGAAATGATGCCATTCGCAATATATTCCCTCCTTACTCAAAACAGTCACTTGAAAACTTGAATTCAGTTTCTGCAATTTCTTGGGAGCACGACCAGATTGAGAAAACCCCTATTGTCTTTCTTTCCTTGTTTGCTGAAAATTTGTTTCCATGACATGAAATCTTTCCCAGTAACTACGACAATATTTGGTAATTTCACTGAAATATTTAGCCATTTAATAATTTTGTGAAATGTTAAATATCCTTCGAAGTATATCAGAACTGCAAATCTTTTCTAAAATTCTACACTAAAGGTGAAATATGTATTAGAATTATCCATTGCTAATTTAAATCACAATAAAGTATAAGTTTTGGGTATATGAATGCAAAGGCGTTCCTAATCCCATTTCTAGTTATTAAAAGTGTTTCAGGAAAACATCTCACAATTTTTAAAGAATTTTTTCATTTTGTTTCAAATGGACGAACACTTGCACTTTAATGCATTCATTGGCAATGGACACTATCCATTAATCATATAGCTGTCTCGTCACCGAGAACTTTGTCCAAGGTGCTCCACAGTAATCAACTGATTTTACACGTTCGAGAATGGGTAAGTTCCGTTCCAGTTTTGATGGAGAGCCGCCGGGGGACGGGTATGGGTGTTTTTCAGCCCCTTCTCGTACTATGAAGTTACTTGAGAGGACTTTCGATTTGCAATGCATTTTGAGTGTCCCTCATACCGCACAAATACTACACATTTCCAAACATCAATGCCATCTATGAGATTCGGCTCCGGGCCGAACGATACAACAGCTAGAACCACTAACCTTTATATAGATTAGGGCGGTATTAAACTTTTATAGAAGTTTCTCAAACAGCTAATGTTTCAGAAGACCTACTCTCAGACTGTGATCCTTGAACCCAAGCCAGCTTGTGAGTTAGCGATCAGGGATCTTCGAGGGAGTTTTCTCACTAAATATTGATTTTCCATTTATATTTAGCAAAGATAGTTTCAGTATCAAGAAATTCATAAAATAAAAACATTCATCCTGGATGAGAATCTGACGACTTTACGCTGAAACCTCTTATAGTAAAAGAAAATTTCGATTCCTATTTTAGGGGAGAAAAGAAAGTTTATCCTGCCATAATTAAAAGTGAGCTTATTTTATCATTTTATAATTCTTTAAACATTTCCTTTTATTCTAGAATTTTATTGTTAGTTCTGTGTAGGAAGAAGGTTTTTAAGGAATCTTAAGATTACATTTGAAAGCAATCAGTCCTGAGTGAACTCTTCCAATTTCACTGTTCATTCCATTCCTTCCACGTTTCGTTCAGTTCCACACATCATCCTGAAATCACTCCGCATTCCCCATCTTATTAATTAAGGTTATTATTAGTGAGAGGTAAGTCTTTTGATCTGATCCCATAAAAGACAGTTTAATTCACCTCTGATCTTAATATCTTATTGTTAACAAACGGCTCTCAGAAATATTATACTATTATAATTTTCAATGAAAATGTTATAATTATAGGTTTTTACTGTTAAAATGTTAACAAGCTTATATATTAAACTTCAGATTCTAATAAATTAGGAAATTTAAATAGCTCTATATCTAAACTCATAATCATCATCATCATTTTCCTTATGTGAAAGAATAGTTAATGGTCCGGTAAACTATACATTATATATATTTTTTCTCTTTTGCCTGAAAATATATAAAAGCTAAGAATAACTACTTTAGAAGACTCAATTAAATGCATTTTGGAAGGGAAGGATGGATAAAAAATCACAAATTCTTTCAAATAAGATCAACTGTTAAGTCTCAGCCTTATACTCTAATTTTAAGGGTATAAAACGTCTTCTGCTACACTCCTGCTAAAAAATTAAACAATAAAGTCTAAAACAAAGGGTACGATTGCAAAAAAGGAGAATTAATACGTACAGTTTACATATGAGGTACAGATTGCATCGCCGAATAGAAATAGAAAACCAAAATTAGCATAAAATGCAATCCGCAGTCACATCACAGTGCCTTAAAAATGAGCATGCCGGATCTATAAGTCAGTTCGCAAGCAGCGATAGTTTCATATAACCCAATATAGCCAAAGCGTAAAGCACGAGCCGAAGACACCATTGGAAAGATTAAATTCGTTGGATGGCTGTCGTGATATTGCAGGCTGTTGCAAGAGAATATGCTGTTGGGCACAATCCGCCTCGTAGTGTCATCAACAGGCTGTAAAATCGTAACCAAAGGGATAAAAAACCCGCAGAAGACTTTGGTTTGGACGCCGGAACATTATCGCTTCCTGTTACCATGTGCAGGACGCCGTAGATCACTAACAGCATTACGGGTGAAGTCATACTTCTCTGCTGCTGCACGACGGCCCATATCACGCCAAACTGTGTGGCGTCGACTGCATGAACTTGGACTGTACGCCCGACGGCCTATGGTTTGGGCTTCTTGTCCCTATCGTATGTCAGAACGCGATTGTATTGGGCCATTGAACATGGCAGTTGAACATCAGAGCATCGTGAATCGTGATTCATTGGGGCTTAGGCATACACCTTCGAAGAGCTTTGATATATCTTTAGGTTTACTTCTTAACCGATGGCGGTAATAAGAAATAAGTGCAAAGAGCCATATAAAAAGAAAAAAAATATGGGAAAACAATATGCGTTATCAAAACAGGAGATGAAATTTGCAGGAAAACAAGCCGTCGAGCTGGAGATGGAAACCACGAGTAGAAATGTAGGCATTGGTGCTCTGACGGTCTCTGTTGAGCAGGCAATGAATTTGTAATGTAGAGGAAGTCTATGAAGTTGTCACTGCAAGAGCAGTTACATCGAAACCTGCGCACTGGGGCCATGTACTCTTTATGGATGAACCTCGATTCAACATCCAAAAAATGATTCTCGTAGAAAATGATATGGCCAGAGCTTGGGAGGTACTATCGGGCGCCAAATATCGCCAACAGAGGTCATTATAGCGGAGGAGGCCTACTTGCATGGCTTGGGATAGCAACGAATGGTCGCATTTACCTTTACGTGATTTCCGATGGTTCCGTCGCAACTGTCCGAAATCTCGACGAAATTCGGTAAAAATATATTTCCGCGTGTCCCTTTGCGAAAATTGGCGATTGGGCACCAAGGCACAATTTCAATATGACCGCTACAAAAAAACCAAAATAACAAGTCAAAGAATTGCACAAACTCGGTGTCCATGTACATATCGATCAACAATTTGGCGATAATCCAAGAGACACTCTAAAAGTTTTTTTTGTTTGTATAGATTAATCCGAAATTCTACACCATATTTGCGCCTTTGCATAATGGGTACCGAAACGATATTTATGGACGATAATGCCAGCCTGCATGGAGTGGTGCGGAGTTACTTTAAGAATGAAACCATTCCACATCCGCCGTATCCTGCTAGACTACCGGACCTGAATCTCATAGAGTATATATGGTACACTTTTAAACTTAGGTACTTAAAAGTATGTTGCATAGTTATAATAATTTTATGCGTTGGCTTTATCAAGCAACTTGATTCCACTTCTTATTACTAATAGTGTGTATATTAATACTAATAGAGTGTATATATTAAAGTGTCTAAACAGCTTGAAATAAAAAAGCACAAACTAAATGGCAAAATAATACTTTATTTAAAAACACAATATAGAACATATACATAGGTGAAAGCCTTTTTTTGTCTTCCTTAAATAATGATAAAGAGGGAACAGTTTTTGAGAATTTAGTTCAAAAAATATATGCCTTCTTAAATTCTGAAGAACTTTTAAAATACACAAAAAAACGGGAGGAGGTTTCTCTAACTTTTAAAGTGAGTACTTGTAGTCCTATAAAAAAATTCTTAGAATGCAGGTAACCATTTCGTGGTTGATACCAAGGTTACTAAACTACAAAGTTTGCTCTTGTGTGACGTCACTGACTCCAAGTCTGCCGAAAATTGCGTCTTCTTTTTCTCACTTGTGTAAGTAAGAGACGTCAGCGTTTGGAAGAGCCTAACCTTGTTTGTCTACTGACCTTGGTTGATACTTCTTGGGGTTAGAATGTATCAGGAACTGGTTACTGACACATTAATATTCGTGAGAATTACATGTAAGGACATTCGGTTTAATAATTATTCATGCCTATACAAAGCAAAAATGAAAGGATATTTGACATTCTGAAAAATGTAAATAATGAACAGAACGTCTACGTTTCTCTTCAGAATCTTCACAAGCGTCTTACAGAATATTATTTTAAAGATTTTTAAAATTTATAAATTCCGCCTTGAAACAATAAAGCATTTAAAAACTAAAGATTTTTAACCCACATTTTTTTTTTCAAGTTTCTTTCTTTATCTTCAAAATCACATTTCTTTCGCCTTTTCTCAAGAACTATTTATTGTTTAGCAATTTAAATGAAATGGTTCAAAAATTTTAAGTTAACTAAAAATACAAACTTGAGAGAGCAAAAGATGTGCCAGAAACAAAATTTGTGTAAACATCTCCTAAAATCAGTTTTTCATCAGGTATATAACGCGTGCTTTATAGAATAAAACAGTGTTTTCTTACTTAGGCTCCATGATAGAAGTACTTATTTACACACTTTTACCTTAGAAATACATTTAAAATACAAGTATAAATGTGTTAAAATTTACAAATATATTTTTGTTACATTACAAATCAGTTGAAAACTGAGAAAAGGTACAAACAAGCAGGAAATCGAAAATTTACTTAAAATCAAATACCATATCAATTGCAAAATTAGATATGAAAACAGTATTTCTTTTCCTGCTGATGTAGATAAGAAAATTAAATTCTACCTCTTTCCAGAGTGATATGACAATTTTTTATTTTCTCCTGAAGAAAACAGACCTGTTCGCGTTTCAAACTGGAAATTAGCGTTCTTTTTTTTTTCCGGTAAAAGAACATTTTTATTCTTTTTCAGTTCCTGAAGTTGTTTCCTCTTCCAGAACTACATATTTTACTGAATAACTAGCTAGCCGTAAATCAGTTTATTTAAACAAACAGAGATGTATGGCTCAATTTGTTTCCTTATTCAAATAAAGGTAAGGTAATTTTCATTTGAAAATTTCTAAATGATATTAACATTAAATTTGTTAAATTCGCAAATGATATTAACATTAAATTTGTTAAATTCGTAAATGATATTAACCTTAAATTTGTTAAATTCGTAAATGATATTAATATTAAATATTAAATTCTTCAAAATAAATTAAGACGATAAATGGTTGTGTTACTTGTGAATCCAATGATGCACAGAAACGAGTCAGAAGTGACGATTTTGTGTAAGAAAATAATTAGATATTTAGATAATTTTTTTTTTCAAAACCAGAGGCTTTGTAATTCCAAGGTCTAGGTTTGAAAAAATTGCTTTTAGTTGTTTTTTGACTGGGAGGGGTATACAACTTTAATATTATACACATAGTAAATTCCCTAAAACCTGCTCGAACTATCTCCTTTAAGGAGAGAAAAAAATTTGCGCATTTTGATTCTTTTAAAAATTTATTAGGTAATGCATGGATATTTATTATATATGCATATTTGTTTTCATATATTTATTTTATATTTAAAACTTTATGGGAAAAATTTCTCTTTTTGAAAAAATACCTAATTTTGGATTATTGCTTGGCTCACGAATGTATCAACTGCAAATATGGAATTAACTTTATAGACTTTATTTGTCATAAAATGTCGAAGTTTTAATTTGAAAACATAAATGACTAACGTTGTTAAATTCATTTTTGGGATCCAGAGAATCTCTATTATGTCAGATAGCTTTTCAAAATCAATGAAGTTTATTTAAAATCTACACCAGTTAAGTTAAGGTCCGGTTTTGTTGCCTAATTTTATATTTTATCTTTAGTGTTTTTTTTTTTTTTTTTGAATATATCATATCACTCATTCATTGTACCTCATAATCTTTAAAGAATATTACAAACAGTTATGAAATTTTTAACCTTTAAATTAAATAAACTAATTGTTAAAAATTCCGTTCTTATATATAATACAATAATGGATAATGATGTAGTATGCAACCTATCGCTTTTTGTTTAGTTATTTATTTCTTAAATGGCACCACTAAAATGCTATTTTTAAATTCGAACCTGCTATAAAATGGCAGGAAAAAGAAACGTTTAAACAACAACCAGTTTTAGTCCAGCCATTTAAAAATAACTAACTAATTAAAAGGGATAGATTGAGTGTAATATTTTTATTTGCGGTAGAAAATAATTCGAAAAGATAGCCCACGGATGAGAAAATAAGATAAATTAAGCAGCTTCACAATTTTCAAAACGTTATGAAAAGGAAAGGTACTTTTGAACAATGCCTTAAACATTTCAAGTAAAAAGCAACTTTATTATAAATAGGTTGTTTATTTTGAAAAGAATCGCACAGACAATAACACGAATTGATGACATTAGGTAGTTCTTCCATTTCATACCAGGCTCGATTACATATTTACAAATGTTAATTGTATTAAATAAAAAAAATGCATAAATATATGCATATATTTCTCCTTAATAATTCTTTTAACAGATGCAGAATTACAGTATTTATTCCCTCGTTTCATCAGTTTTTAAATAGCTTTGTTTCTAACAGAATTCTTATCTTTCTGAAATTGCTTACTTTATGACTTTCTAATGCACCGGGTAAACAAAAATGACTAGAATTTACGCTAAAGATTATTTCTAGTTTGAATTAAATTTCTTTTTTGGGAAAAAAGATGAGAGAGAGAGAACCAACCATTCATAGCTTAACCACGCTCGAAAAGGAGTCCCGGTTTACTTCATCGCCTTTTATCGAAAACTGAGTTAAGGGCAATTAAATAAATTTATACAACTGTTAATAAAATCTTAGGATGGATTCCTAAAATTAAATTTCGAGAACCACCTCTCTCTATTTTAATAAATATTTCGAACTGTTTTTCCAATTCTGGTTTGACTAGATAAAGACAATAGCTTTATATACCTTTGGTTTTAGCCATCGCAGTAAAAAAAAGAAGTATACATTTATTTACATAAAATTCGTTTCAAACATTATTCTTGCTTGATGCTTTTTGACTATTAGCAAAAAAGGCTAATAAAAAGTATTGTGGTGCTTAAGGATATTTTAAATAATTATTAATTTTAATTACTTCTTTTTTCACAGAAGTATAAATTCTGTGAAAACTCAGAAATTCACAAACTCTTAAGTTACATAATTTTTGAAAACAAGAGTTTCTAACAACATAATTCAGCTAGAAGCAACATGCGCGTTCCACTCATATTTTCATTTCTCTGATAATTTTCATATATCGCTGTCATGAAATCATAATATGGTTCTAAACAAAAGCTAGACTATTTGAACAAATAAATATCATGAACAAAATATAAAATCAATATAAAATATAAATAATATTCAATTCCATAATTGCTTATCAGTTCATACAGCATAAAAATAGTTAAAACAATTTTTCATTCAAAATGCAGATATTTATACACGTAAATAATTCTATATGATTACACATAAAATTATTCATTGACAGCCAGTCAATAAACGGAAACAACAAAAAGAAATCATTTTGAAGAATATACCATTAAAACTTCTTAAATAATTGATTATTTTCCACATAATGCTTTTTTAAAAATTAAATCTAATCAGTTATCTTTTAATACTGAATAGAAAACATAATACACTCTTTGCAACTTGCCAATGTACAATAATTGATAAGCAGAGGTTTTATATTTTTTTCTTTTGTGGATTTGTACTAATTTAAATTATGTTATAAAAACAGTCTGCAGTAAAATTTAAATGTTTCATGTCAAACAAAGTTTTATGCATACTCAGTTAAAAACTGAAAAATTAACATCTAATTTCAGGAAATCCAAGATCATATCTATATTTTGTAGTATTAAAATAATCATTATTTTTAAATTAAAATTATTAAAAGGAATTAATAAAAAAAGTTACAAAAACTTGCTCTTTTATTCTAATTTTGGCATTTAACATTAGCATTAATTTTCAGATGACTTACATGAAATCGTTTGGTGTTAATTAATACTCAGGTGATTTAAACAAAATAATATGATATTAATTTTCAAATGGCTCGAACAAAATCGTTTTGTGTTAATTTTCAAATGACTTTAAATTATTTTTTATTATCACATGGTTTAGTATTATCACGTGACTTCACAAGTTATGTTTTAAAGAGCTTTATAATATTGAACGAGAAACGTTACTGCAATTTTCGAATAATTTTTACTTATGTGTTTGGTTCTTTTTCAGACTTAAGTTAATTTTTTGATAATTTATCTAACATTTTAACATACTTTCTCCAATAATAAGTTTCCCTATTTCTGAAGCAATTTTATATCACATTTTTAATGCTTTTCTTAAAATAAATTTCTTTCGAATACAAATATAAAACATCGCGCATAAATAAAAACCAAGCACCAAGGACTATAAAGCTAGTTTTTTTGAGTTTCATGGTCTTGTTTTCAAGCTTTCATTTTACATATCAAATTACAGTTATTTCCTAGTTAGTTGTTAGCTGGGTTTCTTAAAGCAGTTTAAAAGCAAAATATCTTATATTAGAGCTAATATCATATTAATTTCGGTAGCAAGTAGAAATTAAATTTAAATATCCAGCAAGAATAAGATTATACGCAATCTTGCAAGTTTATGCCCGCGGCATTTTGTCAAAGAAATTTTTGGAATTATCATATTTTTAAATAGCTTTCACTTATATCCTACTTTATTTTAGGTTTACATGCATAAGTCGTGTAGAAGAAGTTTCCTGTACGCAAGAGTTTCTAAATTACTTTAGTTTTCTACTCTTGGTTGACTTTTAATTTATTTAATTAATTTTAACTCCAGTCATTTACTTGCTATTTTCTCAAAATTCCACTGTTTAAGTTTCTTCTTTTGTAATTTACAACATTTAATTTTACTTTTGGTTTTGCATTTTTACCCTTGCCTATATGGATGACGAAACACGAATTGAGTAATTGAAGAATTAGGTATAGGTGCAACTTCCCCTTTGGATAAGTTTGTCTCCTGCCTGCTCAACAATTATTCACTTATGAAATTTTTAGGAATAATACATTTATTTTTTCGGAATAATATATTTTTTCATGGTTTTCAATGAAAATTTCTTAATTAAATTTAAAATTTTAATTTTATATTTGCTTTATAGGAATAGAGAATTTTATATTTGCTTTATACGAATAGAGAATATTTGTTAAATTCTAAATGGTACTTAGATATATAAACGGTTTCATGAAATTTAACAGTCATTGAAAACACATCTGTAACTTATAACGAAATGATTATGGTGACACCATACAGAAGGTTAAATTCTGGAATATTTAATTATGAATTAAATTATTTCCAATATCATTATTATTATTTAGTACGAAAACGATTAACTGCTAATATTGTTTATAATTTTAATGCATACAATAGAAACAATCTTATCCAACTGATCCAACTGAGAAGCAAACATGATTTGTTTTTCGACGTCTTCCTAAGATGTGTAAATTCTAAATAATTTCTAAAATATTTTTCGTGCGTATATTTGTAATTAAATACTACCTGTATTCCATAAGAAGCCTTCAATCCAAATCAATGTTTCATGACATGCGTCATTTGTTTTGACCACATCTTTCAATTTTTTAGGTTAACTTACTTGTTACAAATTGTAACTATTTTTCTTATTTCATCCACTGCTCGAAGCAAAGTATTTTGCTTCAATTGAAAGTGTAAAAGTGAGATGAAAAAAAAAGAGAGAGATCAAATTTTTATACTTCAATTCTTGCTGAAAAAAAAAAAAAAAAAAAAAAAAAAATTGCAGAAAGTTGCATCTACAGGCAGCTTCAAAAGAATTTAAATGCAACAGAATGACCATATCAAGAATTTGGAAACGTGATTTCGAAAATAATTGTCAAGTTGAATCTTACATTAATGTTCATTCTTTTAAAAAACAAAAATGTGGGCGTAAATGCAAAGGTTAATTGATAAAAACTTAGATATGTTCCTCTTAGCAGAAGAATTACCATGAAAGCAGTAAAACATAGTCTTAATAATAATAATAACATTTCCCCTGAATGTTGTTGGAAGCAATAAAGAACGATTTCTCGAACAATTTTAAGCTCACACATATAGTAAAATTTTTTATTTATTGTTTAATTTAATTTAGCTTTTTGATAATAAATGTTGCTTTCTAGATTTATTCTCTTTTGCCATTCTTATTATGGAAAAAAATTAATTCATCAACAGGTACTATTATTATGGGACAGAGGGAGTACTTAATATTTTATCTGTTTGATAAAATAAACATTAGTTTATTTAGTAGTTACCTGAATATTGGAGACGGATGAAATATTTAAACATTTTAATCCTAGCAATATGAACACAAATACCATTACTTACATATATTTTGAACTTTTTAAACATAAATTGTATGCTTCAATATTATGTTTTTATGATTTTTCTCCTAGATTCTAATTATATATGCATTTATTTAAAATCACATCAAAATATAAAAAAAAAATCTAGCAATTAATTTTGTAAATTACTTTGAGGGTGTTGTATAAATTAATAAAGTAATGAATATAAATGGAGTTGTGATGAAATAACAATGCAGTGTGTTACATAAGAAAAAATAAGATTTAGAACACATTTTAGTAGCATTTCATGCATTAGGTTGAAATCCCAAAACATTACATAATATAGTATTTAACTATTTCCAAGAAATTCAAACAAGATATATGAGATATATGGCATATTACATAAGGTTTGGAATAAACTAATGTCCTTGTTTAAAAAAAAGCACATTACATTTGGCTAGAAAAAATCAGAATATAAGTGTCAACTTAAAAAAAATATATATATATATAAAATGTTAATTATTCTTCCAGTTATTTTTTGTCGTTTAAAATATAATAATTTCAATTTAACTTCTCATACAATATCTGTACGTATAAATTTATAGACAATTTAACAATACTTTTTTGAAGTAACTCATCTATTCTAATTTCAGTATGTTCTTATATTTAGTAATTTCTCATATGTATGTTACTGAATGTTTGCTTTATAAAAGAACTTCGCGAACACAAAAGCATTACTTTAAATATATTGTAATAAAAGTCATTACTCTTTTTACGTTTTCATTCCTAAAGAAAGTAATTTTTTGTAGATACTATTAAACAAATTATATTAAAAGTTGACTTGAAAATGTGATTAATGATTATTCATTTATTCATTCTCTCTTCTTTATGGGAAAAATTTACTTTCATGTAAATTTTTCGGCTATTCAAGTGAATGAAACCTTTAAATTGCCAAGAAGTTATCCATATGAATAATAAAATATCCTAGGCAAAATATACAAAAAGATACAAAAACAATTCCTACCGAATACAAATGCTCATATTATTACATTAAGATCGTGAAAGCAATAGAACTATACACTTATAAACCGCATTTGTCAACTTTAGAATGTTTATCTTGAAGCCAACAAAACTTTCTTATATTTTTCTCCCAAACCTACATTCAAAATTATTGTTTATAATCTTCAGTTATAATTGTATGTTGAAAAAATAGTTTCAGTGAAAGCAACAACATCATGCTCGATTTTCCTTTTCATCTAACATTTCCGCTTTCACAGTCTTCAAACTGGTTCTTCGATTTAACTCTGACAAGTAACTGGCAGTCCAGACAAGGCTACCCGTTTATGCCTCTTGCAGTTTTTTTTTTAGCATTTCATGTCATCACTTTTCATGCACTGGGCTGCAATGGCAGGTAATAAATCAATCAGTTCATATTAAGTAGAAACTTCAGTGATATATATATATTTATATATTTTGTGTGTATAGTATATTTATAAACGCAATTCGGACCAAACATTCAGGTCCCATAGTGGCCCACCACGGCTTTGGTACCATTCTTTATACACAATGCATTCTCAGCAGATTCATAGTTCGTAGGACCCTCTGGGAGAAGGTGCTTGTTTTAATTTTTCCATTTACTTTTTCGAAGTCGTTTCAGCAAAACCTCGGGGTCTGTTTTTGGTAAGATTTACAGAAGCCAAATGTCCATGGAGGTCGCTATAACAACGCAGCAAGGAATGTGCTCACGAAAAGTGTTTGTAGCAAGCAGCCAATAGTGCTGCCCCTGTTGATCACTGTAAGAAACAAAACATAATTAAATGCCGTAATCGTAACATTAAAATTTTACTTACATTAAGAAATCATAAACACAAAGGACTTTTGAAATTTTAAGCTGAATATATATAGTAAATGTGGCAAAAAATTAATTTATTTCGGACATGGTAACATAAAGGTAATATGTATTTTATCTACCTACTTTAAATAGCAACAGAAAGACGATAAGTGCAACTTTCAATAGTGGTTGAGAAGTAATAGTACACACGTATGCATTTAATACATACCACATCACTGAAACTTGAAATCCAGACATCACTGAAACTTGAAAATAATAGAGACGAAATTCTGCGAAACACTTGGCAAGAATGTTTCTATTAATTAAGAAAGACAGTGAGAGGCTCAAAGGCAATCAGACACTGCCCTAGTTCTAACCATAAACGATGCCAGCCAGTGACCTGGCTATGTTTTCAGATAACATGCCGGATAATTTCAAGGAAACCGAAGCTTTTCGGTTACGCGGGAAGTATAGTTTCCAAACTGAAACTTTGAAAGAAAAGCATAAGGCATAAGGAATGGAGCCTGCGGCTCACTTTGACTCAACATGTGAAATCGCACTTGGCTCGGGAACAGGAAGGCTTAATACTTTAGGGGCTCTTTCTTGATTCTGTGGATGGTGGTGCAACACTCTGAGCGTTACGGATTTAGCCTTGAAATTTAAAAGTTCCTCAAAATGTCATGAATAAGTGATATTTTCTTGATTTTAATTAAAAAATGACTCTTTTATTTTGTACCTTGATTCCTTTTCTTCCAATATACATCCAAACTGAAATCAGATACATTAAAAGCTAGCAGAAATATTCATGTATAATGAATGCGGAAGGCAACCTTCTGTACGGAATTTTCCGGCCTTAACGCTGAGAGGGTACCAATTGATCTGGTTAATTTCAGAACGTACTCAACAGAAGCCCTAGGGTCAAAAACCAACGCAAAATCCAAGTCACATGCTATCTCTTAAACGAAAGCACTTAGTGGCAAGAGTGCATCATTCGGATATGAACGACTTCGAGCCAGTAGTGGAAACCATATTTCAACCTCCAGACTAGAAAGCATCCTTGCCAGCAAACGTAATGCAGCGAAAGAACGGCGGGTGCATGTCGTTCGTCTTCCACAAGTCTCTAAATTCTGCTATTGAATCTTCTGCAGTTGCTACCAAACCAGTTAAAAATCTTAAATTCCAGGATTCGTTGATCAGTTAAAAGAGATCCAGTATTCCCCTAGAAATAGTAACCAGCCAAGTGCTAACATGAAATCTGCTAAAACATACGCAGAAGTTATTGGAAATAGCTCCAACATTACAGGTACCTTCATTGGCGTTCTTAGATTTATCAAAGAAATAAATAATATTTCCACATACTTTTCCATCTCTGACATTATTAGGACTCTCCAGGGAAGAGCTAATGAAATTTATAGTGCCGATACCCCCATTGATAAACTTTTTGTCATTAATGTTTTCGAGGACATTTTTAATAGCTTCAACTCATGTGGAAATGGAAATTAGATTTATTGTGATTTGCATTTGTCTTCTTACTTATGCTTTTCCTTTACCCTAGCTATTTCAAGTAATTTGTAATATTTCTATAAGAGTGTGTACTTGGAGTTTTTCCCCTTCTGTCAGATTTTATTTTTATATTTCATATGCATTTTTTGCACTTTCTTTTGCTTTCATACTTGTTTTTATGTTCACCAGTTAGCTTCCTGGGCCTCCATATGCTAGGTTATATCAAAGTTTACACTGTGACCTGCATTATTTTTACTTTCTCTCAAGACTTTAACATTTGAGGTTAGGATTGCAAAACTTTTCTGGACTTTACCTTAATTCGCAGTAACAGATTCGGTAGGATATTCTTCAATGGAGGTAAGCAGTTCCAACTAGATACTCTCGTGATTCACCGCTTTCCACGAATAATGTCGCTCGTCTAACAGTTACAGCGCCAGAAGAGAAGAGTTCACCCTTTGCTTGGAAGGATTGTTCAAGACGATGTAGGAAGACTTCCATGTTGCGTCTCAGCACGTTTCGTGAAATAACATGTATTTCGTGGCTGGTGGTAGTCTTTAATTCCTCAGTCATCTGCAGACGATCTGCAAAGGATATTTTTTCCTTCAGTAAGCCCCAGAAGAAGCAGTCCAGAACTGTCAAATCTGAGAACTGGATGGTCAAATCAAATCTCCAAAGCGAGAAGCAGATGACTTGGAAATGTTTGTGAAGTACAAATCAGTCAAGCACAAGTATCTCATGCCTGTGCTTGCCATTTTGCTGTCCTGAACCCATATTATTCCATTAGTTGTCTTACCCAAAATGCTGGTGATCTTCATTGTTCCCCCCCCCCCCCGAAATACCTTCTCAGCGTTTGTGACAAAGCGTTTGTTTGTTGCAGAAAAACTCCTTCCATTGCAATCTGCAACTGCATCAGCTGACTGTGCATGATATGTCTGAGTTCTACCTATGTATGGATGTAGGTATGTCACACACGCGCATGTTCATTCTGGCACGGTTGCCAATTTAAACTGGCAGGCCACCTTGTACATATATATATATATATATTGGTAAAACATGCGCAAACCTGTAGTATGACTTAATGAAGTTAGCATCAATGAATATGTAATTTAAATGCAAAGAAATTATTTAAACGAAAGAATACTATTCGGAATATTATTCACATTTAATTTGAGATGCACAAGTACAGAAGTAGTAATACGAATCGTCTTGCTATAGCATTTTTTCAACATCAACTGGAAGAATAAACACTAACATAAAATTTAAAATTAGGCTAAAACTCAACCTTATTTTAGCAAGGGGTCGATTTTAAGGGAGATCAGTCACTGGGCTTTCTTATTCACTAGCAAAAAACTTTTGCGTAGATTTTGAATAAAATGGACTGATTTCTAGGGCGATTACACACAGATCATCCTTTTTTCAGGAGCAAAAAATTATACAGTACAAAGTCCGTAATCCGGACTCGTCGGGATTTCGGCGATTCCGGATTGGGTTTTTTTCCGGATTATAGATCATGAATTTAAATCTGGTAAGATGGCATGCAGAAATTATACAGTTTAAAAAATATGAAATCGTAATTTATGAAATAAAGAACAATTATGATCTAAAGGGTATCAAAATTAACAAAAAAAACCTTAATATTTATTTGTTTACTTCATTAAACATTTCTTTCAATGTAAGTTGCTTCCACAAAAAATTCCTTTTTTTGGTGTCATATATAGTGGACTTTCCAACGCCATACTTCTCGCATAATTCTGAGACAGATAGGCCTTTATCCATTTTTTGCAGCAATTCCATTTTTTGTTTAATGGACATCAAAACATACTTTCACTTTGTAGATCCTTTGGCAGCTCCAGAACTCTTTTTGGAAACTCTTTTTTGGCATAATCGAAAGTTCAAGTTTAATTTTTATAAAATTGTTCTAACAGTCTGCAAAAAATAATAAGGCGGATCCAATTAGGAGATTAAGGAACAGTGCAATCTGCAACATTAACTGAAATGCCTTAGATAATTTTAGCCTAGTTTATACCGTCCGTTATACATTAAACGCGCATGCGTTTATGCATGCGCATAAAGTTTGTAGCTTTGAGATCCGGACTATAGATCAGTACGGATTATGGACGGCCGAATTACAGACTTTGTACTGTATAAATTTTAAATGGGAAGCTTCTGGGTTTTCTTCAGGTCTTTCATTACATAAAAATAAATCCCATCCAAATTAAAACATTTCTCAGCAATAAATGAAATTTGCTGAATTAACGACATTTAAATTTTACTAATTCCATTTAGCCGACCCTAGAGATTTTCAGCATGCATTTTATAAATAAATTTGTAATATAACACAAATAAAAGTAATAATTACTTTTATTTGTGTTATATTACAAATAAAACACAGTTACAAATAAAATAAAAGTAATTATTACTTTTATTTTCACTGTGCTTAAAAGGTTAAAGGTTTTCTTCCCTACTCCAAATTTTCTCAACATAAAAATGTAAGAAAAATCACAAAATGAAATTACTAGAGATCATAAAATTTTGATTATCTAATTAAATATTAAATTCTTCTTTTGTACATTTACAGGAGTTTTTGAAACTTATTGCTTATGAATTTCCATTTTTGGTATGTGTGAAAAACTGGTTCTAAATTTCTTTCTTTCTATAATTGAATGTTAATATATTTTATATGACAAGCACATTATAAACAATTTAATAACTTTAGTCATGCATTATAGAACGAAATTAAACCAATTTGGGGTTATTTTGAAACCGTGTTGATGCACAGCTCGAAAATTTCAGAAAATGCCTGCTTCAGGCCACGAGAACCTCCTGATTTTTCATATTTCAATGCCGCCAGCGATGCTATATCCATTTTAAAAGGAGATCAGACATACTTTCCTCTTCTTAAGGATGCAGAAAATTTTATTGTACATATTATTTTAACGAAAAATTTTAAAACCACATGAGTGTTTCGAAGAAGCGTATTCCATCAAAAATTTGTTTTGTATTAAAAATTCAAAAAGAGCTTGGAGGATTATTCCCCATTTTTTTTATTTTTTAAAACGCAATAGCGATACTTTTATTCTAAAATTATGTAATTTAAATTTTAACACACTCGATCTTAAATCTAAAATTTACTAGAGCTTTAACATTCGGATAACAGTGATTGATTAAGCACCTTAAATAAATAAAACAGATGGGTAGCTGAAAAGTAAATGCTTTCTATATTATTCAGTTTTCTCTTAAAGCATAACACTTACCAGCACCTGTGTTCTCTGAAATGTGGAGGCCAGAACTCTGCTGGCTGCTACCCACAAGTGTCTCTTCACTGCTCATGTTGATCACTTTGGAGAGTGTAGCAGTGCACTTCAGTCGCATCTCGTCTCGTTGGAAGTGAAATGTTCTGACGGTGAATCGTAGGCCCAGGATGGACGTCGCTTGTCCGTCCGGATATCGAACAGCGGGATATCGAATCAAGAACTCCGGCCTCACCTGCATAAGGAAAAATTAAAATGTATAGACAAGTTTTCTCTCAGCAAAGTTATACAGTTGAAATATGAACAGAGTGGAAAAATGAGTTTGGCGTCCACATCCGTAGTTTCGTTTTGTTTGTCAACAGTAAACCCATCTATTTTTTTACGCTCTCCTTTTAGCGAATTAGACCCTTAGAATTTAGTTAGAAAAATAACAAAGTTTAAATAGTCAGTAGGCTAACACAGTCTTGGTGATATGAAAGAAATTGTAAATTTGGAGAAAACAGTATTGATGTTATTGCTATCCAGTAATTAAAACTGAATTAAAATTAAAGTTGAATATTCCAAAAGACTTATAAACCTATTTCTATCGCACAATCATATATTTATTGCCCAATATATTTCCATTTTTAAGGTAAAAAGGAAGCTATGTGTAAGAGCAGGGTTCTCCACCTTTTTTTGCCCCATGTCCCGCTTTCACCATTGCAAGACGATCATTCCCTTCTATCTCCTTTCCAAAACTTGAAAAATACGTATACATCTATCTAAATTTAAATAATTTTTAATGTGCCTAATAAATTAAACAAAATCATAGAAAATGTTGATAAATACCAAAACTTGAATAAAAGCAGTTTTTCATATTCATAAACTAAAACTAAGCACTTAGCATCAAAATAAAAGATTGACTGCATACCCCCTGAAACTATAAAATTCTCCCTGACGGGAATTACCGACAAATGGGTTGAGAATCCCTGTGTAAGAGCATAAAGCTTCTATTAGTAAAAGAACATTTTGTGTGGAAAAGTTTCAGTCCAGATTTAAGAGCATATAATGTATTATTTATAATACAAGACTCAGAAGGCCTTCTAAATATACAGGGTCTGTCAAAAAATGGGCATACACTTTACCAGATGGCATAAGTTTCGAAGTTGAATTATGTTTACAACATGTAGTAATATGGTGTTTACTCAACACATGTCAGTGCTCTCATGACTGTGATATGTGAAGTATGACATATGATAGTGAATCAAAATGTACCTTGGGGGACTTTTAAGAATACCGTATAGTGTAGGAAATCGTCTAGTAATATTTCTGTCATGTCACATGACCTTTCGCGTGCTTTCTCAGATTTAAGCAAGATTGTTGAAAATATTCTGCCACGCAATTTTCTGTACAAAATAATTAAAGCATCGTCGATTGCTTCTGAAACTTTTCATTGCGAAGTTAGATCAAATATAGGAAATTATGAAGATTTCACTACCTGGTTGAAATAAATGCAAACACATGTTGGATATTTCGTTAAAATATAGATGTGAAATATTACTTAATAAGTGGTAAGCGAGATGAAGAAAGAAATATGTGATAAACATCGGAGCCCAAATGCAATCTTTACATAAAACTATGCATATGAGAAAAATATTCGATACTAATTATGTATGTAAATAGAAGTCAGTGCATTTTTATTGCAGTCTGTATATGAAAAAGATATTGTATAATAATAACCAATGCTGAATTTTACTCAAAGTGAACTTTACTAATTTGATTTCTTATATATTTAATGTGTTAAGTTTCACATTTAATAACTGCTCACTCTTACATGTACTGTCTCTACAAGAAATACACATCAAATTGAAAGAATTTATCTTATTCACAACGAATATATTCAATTTATTTACGTATTAACTTTTAATGTTAACCATGGATATAATCAGATCATACGCAATATTATTCTGAATCTTACACTTTAAAAATCAAAAGAATGCAAGCACTGAAATAAGAAAACGCTAGATTCATTGTAACACTTTCAGTCATTCTCAGCTTAATTAAAAAAATAGATACACTTGAATTCTGTTAATCCACATAATATGCCGTGAACATCAATGCTATGCGCAATGTAATGCGTGATAAAAATCGCGAAAGTGAAAAGTCAGCGATTAATCAAACTCAGAAAACGAAAGCAATACGAGATTTTCTACTATTACGCCATACATTTATAACTGCGAAACAAATACAAATTAAAACGTAAACAACATACGCTCACATGTACGAAGATTTAGCGTCATAAGAGCAATAGCAGCTCATTGGTCCATTTTCGAAACCCCTCCCTTAGCGGCTAGGCTGATGTGCACTTGTGAAATATGCATCCCGTTCAGCAATCTTTATGGACACACTTACCAACGTTGTTCAAGCAACTGGAAATTATTCTTTGTGTCCGCTCATCACTACTCTTACAGCACTTTAAGTAACTGTACCGGTGCAGGTGCAGGTGCAGAAAATTGCGTTAAATTTAACCTAACCGTACTTAATACGTAGGATCACATTAACGTACAACTAAGCTCGGTACGAATACATAATAAAAATGTTCTTTTTCATTAAAGTATGTATGCACGTTTCTCACGGATTTTGTACAATTAATTAAAAGGCTTAGCGGTACCTAACTATACACAATCGAACCTCCTATTAGCAAATTCTCTCAGCACAAAAACTTTTGTATATTATCGGGGAATATCAAAGGAGGAGTATATTAGTTTCATTTTTCGGCTAGTCCGGGATTCAAGAACTGTTGGTTATAGAAAATGTTCTTTAAAATGAAATGCCTTTTAACAAATATTCAATCATATTTTCTAAAAATAGTTTGTCGATAAGGTTTGTCGTTATTTATTTAGTGGAATTTTCATACTGAGAAGTCACAGAGAAAAAGCCTTTTGCGTGCTATCAGAAAATGTCTGCTAAATGGCAGTGCAGTGGTCTCCTACTATGTATGGTGCAGGTGTCAGAAACTATTCGATATGAAGAATGTCCTCTAAAGTGGAGTATTGTTTAAAGAGGCTTTGACTGTATTATAAAAGAAGTTGTAGTACTAGGACACTCTTAGAATACAGAATGAGAGAAAATAGATTTAAATGGATAAACAATGATGTTCCTTAAGATATGGAGATGCACCACAAAAATGTACGATTCTTTTGCATGAATGAAAAAAATTCAGTCTGCAGAGTTGCTTTGTATATGGTCATTTAAAACGATTTTACGACTAAATGGCTCTTGAAAGGTTGGTCGCAGATCCATGTTTTTAATTTAAGAAATAAATCAAATAAGATAGGAGTTTAAATTGTTGATAAACCCGGGAACTTTTAATAAACATCAACAAAATTTATATTTCAATATTACATCAGTTTTCAAAAGAATTAAATGACTAAAATGTTAATATTTTACTCATAAGTGGCCCGCAAAACATCTTTTACTAAAAATGTTTACAAGAAAATTTCAGGAATACTCCTCTAGATTAATAATATTCACAACTGTTTATTTAGTTTAGAAGGTAATGGATGCATTTTTACTTCGAAATCTCGTTCAACAACTAAAAAAATATGATGAACGATTACAATATGACGTTTCCATTACAATAGAAGAACTAAAGTAATTTTGCGTGCAAAAATCTACTATATAAGTACATAAATTCCGTCAGGAACTATGAAGCAAAGCAATCAAAATTTTAATTAAAGCAGACAATCCATAGATAAATTTGGCATCAAATGTGTTTAGTGGTTACTAACACCCTGCTTGTTTATGAATCGTTAATTAATTGATTTTTCCATTTAATACATATTAATGTTTTAACCTTATTAAATTCTTTCAGGTTGTTGATGCTTTTAAATTACTTACCGGTTTATCATTAATATACCATCTGAGCTCTGCAGCAGGATTTGATTTGGCTGAAGTACAATTAACATCCACAATATCTCCCTTTTGATATTTAGGTTTTCCTCCAGATATGACAGGGCCATCGCCAACAACAGCTGGTAAAAAATAAATATATAAAATCATTTAAATGTTTTACTTCCATAATGAAAAAGTAAATTATAAAAAGGCACTATTACAATTATAGATTAAAAAAGTTTTGTGCTATGAGGAACTTCTAGTCTCATTAGGAAAAATAGTATGGTGCTGCCATCTATGAGGAAACTTTAGAAACTAATCAGCACTCTAGCTGTATTCTGTTGATAAAGTTAGCCAATTTATTAATGTAAAATAAAATATATCTTAAATTTAAAACAAGCGCAACAGTTATCAATTAAATACAAAAATTAAAGCAGTAATCTTTTATTCATCAAATAATTAGAGGGAGGTGATACCAAGTGCACTCCGTTAAGGTTCTATTTTCATTCGCTAGATGGCGCCAAATAGAATTAGGCTTTTAAAAGCGACGAAAACAGCTTCTACACATGTTACTATAATTTATGGTGGTAAAGGCCATCACGCCGTAGACTTGCACATTAGATTCACAGGCTAGACATCTTAAAAGATAAGTAATTCTTAACCTTGAATTTATCAGTCTCTTGAGGATACGTGAATGACTACAAAGTTTGCAGCGGATTCGTCAGGCAGAAAAATATTAACAGCAAATTAAAAATAAAATAAGAACACTGCAACTTGAATATTTCAGACTTCTAATCCCTCAAAGAAGAGTTTACGTTAAAAATTAAAAAAAAAAAAAATAACCTCAAAAAAAAAAAAGGAAAAATAAGGAAAACAACAAAAAATTATTCTGTATGAGATACGTACTATACGACGTTAGAAATATTTTTTTACATTTATAAAGTTCTCAATGTTCATAAAATTATCATTTAGATAATTAAATTGGGCATTTAATTAATAAATGAGCACATTTAGAAAGTAATTACGACTGAAATTCTTAAAAGCTGCATATTTTTAATTTTAAATCGTTGAGTTTGTTAATGAATTACAAGTGAATTACTTAATCAATACCTTAAAAATTTAATGACTCATTAAATTTGAAAGATCGGTTAAAGATCTTATGCTTCATCGAATGGCAATATTCTGAGAACCGACTACATGTACAGAGGAAGCAGAAGATGAATTAAAGAGATTTTACTTCACTTATCAGGTTCAGTGTTCCTCCTTACTTGCTTGGGGAACATTAAATGACGTGACTCGGAACAGGGAGCTTACTAAAAATGTTCACTAAATGTGGGAAGTAGACAAGATACACAGGAAGGTATACGAAACCGTTTATTTTTCTCTCTTTACTGATTTCCGGACTTCGGAATACAGAGACCAACCACTTGTGGTCTGAACGTAAGAATAAAAAAAACTAAATTCAACTAAACTAACTTGGATTAATAACAGTGTCTACTGAAGATTGGCCGTATATTAACAGGCCGTAAGAAGAGAACTTAACACTACGATACGTTTAAATTATCAAGAGGATTAACCTCTGGCTTGAAGGCAACCAGCAACGAGTCTGCTATGGCAAGCGGCCTCTAATCACTCCTTCCTCTCTCTTGCTTGCCACAACTTAAGTTCGCAGACAAATTTGCAAATAAGTTAAAGCTTTTAATTCTGGCCGGAAGTAGAAAATAAGAAGTGATAGTAAAGATTTAAAATAAAATAAACGTTAGTAAAACTTAAGATCCTTACACACTTAGCAGCTTCATATTGTTTTATCGTTTTTAAACCTCTCAATTTATTAATAAATAACAGTTTGATTAAATTTGAAAGATAAAATAAAGAAATTTGACGAGGAAACACTCTGAGAATCGACTGTACTCGAAACAGCGTTGACAATAAAGTTTAGAATGTCATCTTTCTCGCAGATGGAACATCTGGTAATGGCTGCTCTTTTTTTTTCTTGCTCTTCCAAACTGTTCAATTTTGCCAGGTAAAGATTTTGAATTTAAGTGAAAACAAAACATCTTCTTCGACGTGTAATGAAACATATTATTTGTTTTATTTATTTATGCTTAAAACTTAACTAAAAAAATCTCATTTTCAGTTTTGAAGAGTTAGTTAGTCAGATGTCAAATGACCAATATCTAATGTGTATGAATAATACGATGTTGAAAGATCTTTCGTTAAATATATGTCTTTAAAAAAATTCTTTTTAGCATACAAACAAGACAATAGACTTAAAAATATTAGATTTAAAATCAAGCACAAAAGCAACCTTAATTCAGCATTTATTTGGGGCATTTATGTTGGTTGAATGTATTTAAAATTTTATGCATTTTCCGAGAAAATTTTGCCCAGAAGTTGACAGCATGCATTTGTTCCTCTGAGGTGTCAGTAGAGAAGCAAAGCTTAACGTGATGAATCAAGTACAGTGAAGCCTTGGTTCATGAACTTAATTCGTTCCTGAAAGATAGTGCGTTATTCGGAATATTCTCAAACCGAAACTATTATCCCTATATGAATGAATGCAAAATGAATTAATCTTTTCCCATACCCGAAATCACTGATTAGAAGAGAACACTTTATACGTCAGTTCTTAATACAAAAGTAATGGAATCCTTTAAATCTAGACGATATTATCATAAGCAAAATATTTATCATAATATTAAACGTTTAAAAAATAAGAAACTTTGAATTAAATTTTACCGTATTTCAACAAACGAAAGTTGACGGCATAAGTAGAAAACGGTAGAAATGCAAGAGGTGAAAATGCTACTGTTTGAAAGGGAAATCTTTCAAAAATTCGGTAAAAATATTAGGTAGCTGCTGTCTTTCCCCTCCTTTTCTTTTTTCTTAACACCACTTGCTTCTATTTGAGAATCGTATAGCCTTTGCCCCATTAAAAATTGCGCACTGTGATTTCTTTCTGTCTATGTTTGAAAATTTTCCTAAACCAAGACATGGCATTGAAAATATTTATGCTACAGCTTACTACTGCTTTATCAGAGTGGTAATGTTCTATGAACATTTGCACATTAACCCATTTTGCAAAAAATTCGTGTATCAAATAATTACGAATATCTTCCCTTTCATCGTTGTCTTCTGACGACATTTCCTCCAGTATATTAACTGCATTTTGGAGTGTCATTTGTTGCCGACTTGCTTGTTTGTATCTCGAGACATCAATCATCATCCAGAACATTTTTCATTTGAAAAATCTGTTCGTCAACCGATTAGTTTATGATAAAAGTTCCTCTGTGTAGCATATTATGAAATCTGTACCTTGTAATAAGATATCTTTTAGGCCAGTGGCTTCAAACTGGCTGTCCATGGATCGCATGCGATCCCCTAAGCAATTTTATACGCCCTGCGAAAACATTTCAATTACGTATTTGTTGCAAAGATTTCAAGATCTTAGTTATTAGAAATTCGAGTCTATATTACTTTCAATACCATTAAAAAAGAACATGAATAATGTACCAGAAACTCTATAAATGGAGGTAGTTAATTTACAGTGTGATATAAATCTTATTGGAAGACTTGGAAGATTTAAGAATTTTGCGCTAAAAATAACGTTATGTGAACAGCTTTTTTCACAGTTGAAAACTAATAAGAAAAGAATCCGGTTGACCAAGGAGCATCTGCAGCTGCAATGAAGATAATTTCTAGTAATTTCTTCTCCAATGCTGGAAACGTTATTAGAATCGAAACGCCATCAATCTGTAGCAAGAAATAAGGAAGTTTCGAATAATTTAAATGCAAAGATATGCATTTTTATTTACACCTCGAAGAAAATTTAATAAACAATAGAAAAGGACCAGGCTGTCATTATTTATTCTCAAGTTTTGTCCCACATGGAAAAGTTTCTCTGAAAAATTAAGAATTTTTCCTTATTTGGTCTATTCTTGGTTTAAATTAAATTTTGTAATGACTCATTAAACATGTTAGAAATATTTGAAAGAAATGTCAGTCTAAAAGTTAAAATTTAGCTATCAATATTCTTAAATTACAAAATGTAACCAGCAAAAATGTCTTGCAGGTATCAAACTTTAGATTTCAGACAGAAAATAAATATAAATTTGAGCTGTTTTTATTTATGATATTAGCATATGCTTTGATAAATGTTTAGTAAGTGAAATTTAAAATCTATTTAAAATGTTTAATTCTTTAATATAAATTGGTAAAATGCAACAGCACAAGCTACTGAATTTAAATAATCTTGCATGCACTTCCTTTTCTGTATTCGGGCATTTTGAATTTATAATTTGCTTTATATTTCTACATATATAACTCCTTATATTTCACTAAAAATAATCTTTAAGTATGATAAACGATTTTCTTCAGTTTTCAGAAATCACAGTTTTCGTGTATAGTTGATGACGAAGTTGTCACATTCATCAACAAGGATTTTTGTCACAGAGTAAGTAAAGTTTGTCTCCTCAATATTTTGTTCGCATTGATTTCATATTTTTGTATTTAGACTTCACTTATTATCCGCAGGTTTTCAGACACGTTTATTGTTCACGTTGCTCGACGGGTACATCTGCTTCTTTAGATATGAAAGGTATACTTAAGTTTAAATTATATACGTGGATGTATCGAAGTTTAAGCTAAAAAATGTTTTTACAGTTCATTTACTTAATGCCTTTTTATCTCGTTAAGAATATATATATGCATTTATATATTTTGTATTAAAATTTATTAATTTTTTCTCATCCCTTTTTGATTTTGAAATTATCTCGTTTTCTAATTTTTACATTAAATTTTTGCGCGATAACTTAGACTTCTTTAGCATTGTTAGTTGTTTTTACATGATGTAACTATTTTACACACGAATTACAGTGTCAAATGTACTTTTTAGCAATAGCTTTTAAACATTTCTCTTCTTTGCAAATATTTTTAAAATTTTGCAGCTCAATGCGCAAAATTCTTGACCACTAAGGTCTCTCTAGTTCATGTTATCTTTCTATTTATATATATATAGATAGATAGATATTCTTTCTTGTTCGCAGTTAAGTGTATGTAATGATTAGTCTTGCGAGGATTTATAAAGCGAGCAACTTTGCTGCTTCCTCGCCCCATCCTTGCATGGTTACCTCCCCCCCCCCCATTACTTCCCCCTCCTTCATTCTTCCCCCACCGCCTTCCTTCCCCTCCTGAACACAGCAGGAACCATGAGCAGATGCGTTCATCGTGTAATGTAATGAGAAAAAAAGTAGGGTGATTACATCCCCTACCATCGACCTTTAAATGAGAACTTTCCTCATAGTTCGTCTTGTGTATTTATGCCTACCTTTAGGGTGTAATTTTAAGCTATTTTGACTGTTGCAAAATTGTTTCCCACCCTGCTTCGCTTCTATTCATTTCCCGCCTCGAAACTCCATTTATGAGAATTGCACACTAACGGTACGATTTTATAGAGCTTAAGGCTCTAGTGAGACTTTGCTCTGAATTATGCCGCGTTTGTGGTTTGAAAGACCGACTGATCGTGCTTCACCGTATTGAAAGTGACAGCCTTACTTAGACCTATTGATATTTCAGGCTCGGCTTGGAGCGATTTTTTTAAATTTTCTTTTAACCGATCGGGTATGTAGCACCGTGCTTATTCAGTAAGTCTGTATAACTTTAATTTTGAGATGCTACATACTATTTTTGTTCAAGTTATACAAAATGGTGGTTTTAAATTATGAGACAGATGTGAGGCTAACTGCTTTTCCGTTTTGTTTAAAATAAAAAAAGGAGTCTTGTCTCATCCTCGTCTGCAGTACTTGTTCTCATTCAAGACAGTGACCTATGCTACTGTCTTTCAGTTCAGAGTGTCTCCGTTATGCTTGAAACATCTAGAAAGACACTACACGGATGTTTAATATACTCTTAAAAATTGTAAAGTATGTAATGATAGCCTGACATATTTAGGCATTAAACTGAAATCTGCATACCAACATTAGATTGCAGTTTCTTTTTGATCTTACGATGTAAATACATATATTTAACTTTCTGAAATTTTAACGGTAAATTCTTTGAGGTCTTTGAAATTAATATAAAGTTTTCCGATTACAGATTTTAAAAGACCATCTAAGAAACACCGATTTCAGAGACGTTCATATAAGAAAGATGACAGCCGTGCTCTATAAATATGTTTGCTTTTAATGTAAAAGCGTTAACTAGCATAATATGCATTTTTTAAATATTGCGCTGAACATAAAGACTAATAAAAATGTATTTTAAAGAAATGTATTTTGCAGAAGATGAAAACATTTTAACACATATCTACTGGTAATACATAAACGATAACACTAAATTAGTCTACCCAAGTTTAAAAAATTTAACTGAGACACGCATAGAGCCTGTAATATCAACATATAGTTGCTTTTGAAATATATGGCAAGTATTTTATTCGTAGCGGTAACATATCACAGTAAAATAAATAAATAAATGATATAAATAAATAAATACATGATATGGATGGAAAATACTGTGAGAAAATCCCAATAAAACTATAGTATGAAGGCACACCATTACAGGAGATAGAAATTCGAAACAATAAAACTTGCATAACATCTCAATAGATGGCGCCACCAGAATAAATGAAAGAGATGAGTACCTGAGGCTTTCGCGTTATCCCCCACAATAATCTCTTCGCTGCTCATGGAATAAGCTTGAGAAATGACAGCAGAACAACGCAGCTTCATCGCTCCGTGATAGAAATGCCGAGGCTCGGCCGTGAAGCGCAAGCCAAGAGTGGAGACGAGTAATTTATCCTGGTGACGAATAGGATTGTAGCGAATTTCGAATTCCAAAGGAGCCTGAAACATAAATACAGATTACATTGTAAAACATTTCTTTCTCTCTTATATGGATCTCCTTTTCACCATTGAAAGTAATATTTCACTCAGAACACGGTACAGACAATAAAAATAAAAATAAAAAAAAAATAAGAGCACTCTATCACACATAGTTTTGATCAAAAGAGTGAACTATATCATTGCAAACATAAGAAGGCTAATCATAATAGTAAATGTAAGGATTTGTCTTGTTTGTGCTACGTACATTACGGATTTAAGTATTACCTGAGGTGGAAAAAAATGCAAGCTTTAGTTTGGTTTTATAGTATAACAAGGTAATTTGATTTAACAATCTAGATTACACATTAAAAAGTTTCGAAACTAAGACGCAAATTATTAAAAATGAAATAAATCCTAAATTTTCTAGAATTCGAATCCTAAATTTTTTTTTTTAATCCATCAAATACATTTATATAACACTGACAGTACGAAAAGGGAATCAGCTATTACTATTAACAGTTTTTAATTAAAGCCTAATCTGAAATCTGCGTTTAATAAAAAACAAATTTAAAAATACCGTTTTTCAACAATCCGTAGAATCCAAGAGCCGTTTATAATTAATTTTTTGAAGCCAGGCAACAGAAGAAACCCACAATGCCCTCGCCTCGATTTAAGCTCTAGACCTCCCCATTGCTAGTCGCCCCAATTACATTATGAAGGTACGCAGTATGGAGAGATAAAATATTCTTATATATATATTATAAGGTATTTCTCCCGCCTTCTTCGCTTGCCTTCGTGGTGTAGAGGTCCGCAGGCTGGGCACGTATTCCAGGGGTCCGTGGTTTGATTCCCGGTGAAGGCGTTGCTCAGTTTTCACTTCCTGTTTCAAAAATAACCTAATGTCACTACAGTGGCGCCCGAACTAAAAGGGTGGTGGGATGATGATTCTCCACACTCAGGATTTGGCGGCTGGGTCTCCTAAAAACTCCAGTCACCCTTTAAAAGGGGGGTATATAAGGTATTTCTCCCGCCTTCTTGGCATGCCTTCGTGGTGTGGTAGTCTGCACGCTGCGCGCGTATTCCAGAGGTCTGCGGTTCAATTCCCGGGGAAGGCGTTGCTCATTTTTCATCTTGCCTGCTTCCAAAAATATCTAATGTCTCGACAGAATATATATATATATATATTTACACACACACATATTTATTTGTGAAGACAATACAAGCGAAATTTAGCCCATAATGAAGTACACAGTTAAAATGTTGAAAACATTAAGCTTATTTTCTTCACAAAATTCGATAAAAAAACTTTTGAGTAATAAATAAAATTAAAAAAAAAAAAAAAAAATCCAGAATCCTTTAGAATCAAAACAGATAAAAAGGGGAGAGGATGTTAACAAAATTACTAATCACAAAACGCTAAATTGTTTTCAGAAAATTAAAGAGGTCATTAATCAGAGTTGCTACGAAATATTATTGGTAATCCAAATCCACTGAAATTGCAACAATCGCATTCCTTTTTATTTTCTTAATGAATTCTTAAACTACATGTCAATTAAACTACAGTTTCCAAAAAGTTTTGAGTTAGATTGGTTACCTATTTTCTTGGGTTAAAACTCGTAAGCGTCGATTGGCAGAAAAAGGTGAGAAAATTCCTATTTTCCATCCTCGCTTCTTATGTCAAGATTCATGGGATTCGAAATTCGAATTTAATTTTTCTGAGTAAAGGTCATTGCGAAAATCAATTCCTTAAATTAACAAACTTGTTGTTGTAATTAACAAACTTGTTGTAATTGTTACTAATTTGTTAATAGGCCGACTTCAAGTTTACAGATATCATTAATAATAAAATTATTTCAACTTAATAACACCAACTAAAAGAATTAACAGATATTAGAGAAGAAGGCTAACTGAACTGTAAAATTAAGCAAATCCTTCGTAAGATAGGCATTATTTTTTAGAGTTAATCCCTATACATTTTCGAAAAAATTTCATAAATTAAAGAAATATTAATTACGCAAAATCGAAGGAAAAGGTTAAAAACTAAATAAAGGCTTCTGCAGATAAGCCTGGAAACAATATCCTTAAGTACAGCTGAAGGACTTTTTATGATTGCAAAAATCTTCCAGGCTGCACAATTTTTTGGAAAAATAAGACCTGTATCAGAATTTACCTCAATTCACAAAGTATTGTTCTCAAACTTGATATCAGCATAACGTGACCATGACAAAATAGCCTAAAAGTAATTATAAATATAGTATTTCTAGTTTCAATCCTAAACACTTTTTATGAGACTAACGACTTTTTATACCATTCGACAGAATTTGCATCTTGCTTTTCCAAAATTTCATCCACAAAATAAATAAAAATATCTTCCATATTTAATATACTTTTTTAAAAATGAAAACAAGGCATTTAAAGTAAAAACAATAAAAAAAATGAAAGTTTTCAGATTTTTTATTACGACCAAAGGGCTTTTTTTTAAAGTTTTGTGTGTTACTTTCATTTATTAAATATCATGTTCTTCGCATTTAAACCATAAAATTCAATTCAACAGCAATATCACAAAATAATTTAAAAGAGCATATCTTTAGAATTTCCGATATACAATGTCGCGCGCTGGAGATAAAATGTTTTTTCTTTTCGTACAGTGCATTCCTCGCTTTGAAATCGTTGAGTTTGTTAATCAAAAATTCGTTAAGTTTTACAAAATATGAAATCAATAATAAAACAAATTAGGGCTTCCAGATGCCCATATTCGGGTGAAAATGTACGTTATTCAAAATTTGATGGCTCTAGGTACCTTTATTTTATCACAATGCGTGTGTGTGTGTGTGTGTGATTACGGTAAAGCATCGAGGGCTATCTGCCTAAGAGGAGGGATGCCTTCGTAGAGGACTTTCTAAGGGAAACTGGCTCGTATACACGTTACACATGGGGAAACCACGAAAACACCCATGCAGCCAGCCTGTTCGCGGGGATTCGAACCTCGGACAGAACTACCAGTGTTCAGCGACTTTACCGCTCGGGAGCTCCGCTCAAAATAAGAGACCTAATATACTCTACACGTGGTGCGCGATTTAAAATAAGGTGAATGATAATTTGTAACGTTTAGAATTTTGTAAAAGTCTCCTTCTCCCCAGACGCCCTTTAAATGGTTTAGGAAAGAGCTTTAGGAATTCTGTTTTACAACACATTCTATCTTCGAGGTACAACTCGAGAGCATAAAAAATAATGTACTAATTGTAACAAAAACTGCAAAGAAGATATGAGAATATTATTATTCTCATATATATATATATATTATTTATCTTGCATTTGATAAATAATAAATATTTGCTGAATATCAGGAAATTACCTAAACTTTATCAAAGTAATTGTTGAAATTAGCGCATCGATGTAATTGTTACCTGTATACTAGCAACTAGTAATAGCTTGTTATGAAAATGCTCGATTATTAAGAAAACATTCATTAGAACACGTTTAAGGCAGTTATTATCAACAAGTGTTTACTATGGGGAATCTGAGATTTATTTTTAGATAATGTAGAGTGGTGTACAAAATCTATTTACATCATATGCTGCATTTGATGTTTGTTGCGGAAAACAATAACTAAGTTACTATACTACAAGGTTTGCATTTGTATGACGTCACTGACTCTTAGTTTGCTGCTCAAATATAATTTCTTCCTTACTCTCTTTATGCTGTTGTTTCTCCCACTTTTGGTTTTGGTTTGCTTGATTTAATTATGGCAAAGCACACTAGGGCTATCTGCCCTAATGGGAGGGATGCCTTCGTGGAGGACTTTCTATGGGAAACTGACTCGTATACACGTTACACATGGGGAAAACCACGAAAACGCCCGTGCAGCAAGCCCGTTCGCAGGATTCGAACCTCGAACCGAACTACCAGTGTTCAGCGACTTTACCGCTCGGCCGCTGGTGGGCTTATCACAATGCGAGAAACATACATACATACATTTATGCCGATTCTTCATTATTTAATTTTTTTTTAATATAATACTGGGCTGTAATATTTGGTGGCAACAGTTTGGAAAGTGATACACCGTTTATAGTGATTCGACGTAAAATGCGAAAACGAAATTAATAGCCCTTTGGACTAAAAATCTGTAGTTATCGACTCTCATATTTCCAGATTATTGTGATATTTAGATACTTTTTCCGGCAAAATAATGTACAGTTTCTGTAAATTATACAACAATTATAATTTAAAATATAGACCAGAATATGCGAAACTTTTGTACGACGCAGAAACCTGTATGTGGAAATTATTACTATGGCATTGTACTTGACAAATGGTAGTGAAAAGAATTTTGAATAAGATAAGCCTGCCAGCCAATATATGTAAATATAAGTATGGCATCAAATTTTAACATGTATATTCTTTATAATGCATTTGCGTGCAAGACGTTATCACTGATTTATATACACGTTACGACATTGTTTTATATCGCCTGTCTATATTTAGGTACTAAAAATTTCGTGAGACCAAGTTAAGCAGGCTCTTGATTTTACGCTATTTTTTCATGGGCTATTCTGTCATGGGATATTTTGTCGTGGGCTATTGTGTCAAGGTACCGCCAGCGCAAGGTCGACTTTTATATATGAAGTATATATGATTGCAATCACATATAGTTACATTTTCGAAAAACTCTTGTTATAATATGTAATAGCACTTGATAAATATTTAATAAATAAAGTAGTTAATAAGTCCTTAACATGATTATGAGGTAAAAAAGAACAGAGAAATGCAAATGTGAAATTTAAAATTAGGTAAAAAAGCAAATTTAGCTCCGTGTTAATTTTGAACAAAACTCTAATGATTTCGAGGGCGATCAGATAAAAGCCCTTCCTCAGAAGGGTAAAAAATTTTTTTCCTCTCTGTCTCCGGAATGTGTAAACAACCTTTTCTTTCTTAAAAAAATTTTAAAAGAAATTTGTATGATTTTTAACAATTAAATATGTGGCGGGCACTGTTTACCAAAATAATGTTGGGCATAGAAA